GGGTCCTGGGCAACCTGATCTGAATGTGTGTGTTTGGTGGCCCTGCTAGGCAGGGGGGTTGGAACTACATGATCCTTGAGGTCCCTTCCAACCCGGGTGATTCTGTGATCAAAATATCCGTTTAAAGATCCTGAATGCATCCCCACAAAACCTCAGTGACTGAATGAATCTTCCAAGTGATTACCTTCACTTCTTCTTTTACTTCCCTTTCTTCCACGTTAGACGACTCAGTCATTTCTTTGACATCAGGGTCTTTGATGCCGTGCATCAACTGAATGTGTTTTTCCAGCATCAGCCGTTTGGTAAAGGTACGTCTGGAGTCTGGGCAGTGCCTGTATGAACACAGAGCAGGCATGCAGAGGTCCAAATGCTGTGCTCAGAAAGCCATGTACTACTCTGAACGAATGTGAGCTAATAAATAAGCACAGACAAGTCCAACCTACCAATGTTAATACTGGAGACAGCACTCTTCCAATCAATTGCACAGGAATTGTCAGAACGGGAGAACAATTAAAAACAAAACCACAAACGTTTGAGCAGCTTGTATTCACAGTGAATGGGAGAAAAGTTCTCTGAATACCCAAAACAGGAGCACTGGGACCCGCAACAAAGCGTGGCTTAAAAAAAAGCCAGGAGCACATGAGTTTGTTTCTTCTACCTCTATTAATGTAACTAAACTGCACGCTCAATTGAACACTCTGTCAAGTTCTCCCTAACTAAATTTGAGCAAGAAAACAATCACTTTCCATGAAGGATGAATGCTAGCTCCAAAGGAGTCTTAATTCTGCACTCAAGTCCATATTCTTTACCTTCTTGGAGCCAGTCTACGAGACTGAGGTTAGGGTGAGTTAGGCTAACCTCAGTGCCTGAAGAAGAAAAATTCAATTCACAATGTACATTGTTGGTTTATACTCTCTCCCTAGCATCTCTGAAAAACAAAACAGTAGTACTTACGAGCATGTATAGACCTTCCTAATGCCTTTGTGCTTGATACGGTTGTGACGACACAAACTATGGGATGAACTGAATGATTTGTCACACTGGCGACAAGGGTGTTTCTTCATTTGCTTTAAAAGAAGGAAGAAAAACACATTAATTAAAAAAAAGAGAAAAAAAAAGCTAGGTGAAAGTCGTCTGTGTGCCAAAACCTTCAACCATAGGAAAGAAACGTACTTACCAGCCTCTGACACTTCTGTCAAGCAAACTACATCTCTTTCAAAGCAGTGTGGCCAGCACACACTGCCAAAGACTGCAAACAGAAACCATATATTGTGGGTGAAGTGAAGGTCTTCCATCAAAGAGGTGCAGGAGGTCAGGGGGCAGTTTCTGGACTGGTAAAGGCAGAATGAGCAGAGATTGCTTTCACAGTGAAGTCACCCTTCCTTTCCTGCTGCCTGAAAACTTCTGAGGCTGCTGACCAAGAGGGTTTCTGTCACCCACAAGAAGAGGGGTGATAAGGACCAAAGCAAAGCATCGTGAATACTGATGTGCCAACAAGGCTCAGAAAGTCACAAAAGAAATGCGAGGTGCAGCCTGATGCCAACCTGAGGAACACGAGTGTGGGGAATTCTGCGTGTTTTGTATCGCTGTTCGTTACGTGGAAGGAGAGAGAAAAGGAAGGAAGGTTGAAAGGACGGAGCAGTCTCCATCTATGCCATTCCAGCTGAACACAAGTCACCAGAGCTCTGGTATCTGAAGGAATAATGTCTCCAAACTGTGAACTACAGAAGCTCCTAAGAGCAGACGACACAGACCTGTTATGCTTTAGGTCTCATTAGCACATCACAATCTTAGAACTCAATCCTGTTCCTGACCAGCCTGTCTTATCAGTAGCTGCAGCAAAGAAACTGAAATATTCCTAATCAAATGTCCTGCCTTCTACAATTAAATAGATTTTTCAAGCTCCTATCTGTTATTTTCTACCGTTCTGGTAGTAATGAAGAAATCAACATAACATCTTGAAAGTTAAAACCAGTGACCAAACAGATCTCATTTAAGACTTCCTCAGATTGCTTTTCAACAGTCCAGCTGGGGCCAGAGCCCAGCGCTCAGCATTCTGTACAGCCGCTCCTGCCAGAGTCAGGGTGTGCAGAGTCTGAAGAAGAAATGCACTCCATTGGCATCTCCTGTAAGAAATTCTGGTCACTTGCACCCAGACTGCAAGCAGTGTGTAGTGAGGAAGAGCTCTGCCTGCTGCCCAGGTAGAACTGCAGGAATGGACAGCCTCATGCAATCAGTCCAGTTATCTAGAAGGAAAAAAACAACCCGTGTTTCCAGATTGCCTTTTCCTGCCCTAGCAGAGATCAGAGCTCTCCTTCAAACTGCAAAAAGCAAATAATGTAACGCCACTCTGCCATGCCAGCCGAAGCCACTGAACAAATGATTTGGATCAACGCTTGGAATTGGACCCTGCTTGACTCTCCTAGAGAATCCGTGCAAGATTCATCCCTCACTCCCAAGCATTCAGTACCAAAGGTTTTCGTTGCAGAAGAATGTTAAAGGTTTGGCTTATTTATTCCCAGCTTCTGAGGAAACAGAATTCTACAGATTCCTACACAGCAGAGAAAGGCCACAATTCACAGGAACATTTTAATGGGATACAAGTCATTCTCTGGTGCCTAATCTAAACTAATAATAAAAAAAATACAATTCTCAATCCTAAATAATATATGGCTCAAATCACACTGAAATGCTGAGATAAGAGATATTAATGAGAGATAATGAGAGATAATGAGAAATAAATGGAGATCAGAGACCTTTCTGCTATTAAGGCCAAAATCACAGGGAATGTGGGGGAAGGAAAGAAGAGGATTTCTGAAAGGTCACTGATGCAAATGGGAGGAATCCCATTGGGAAGCAAGGTTTGGTTATCCTACTAGGGACAGTCCTCTACATAATGCCCTTAGAGGCACGATGTTCCTCAAAACAGATTGTTTTCTTTCTGTGTTTAAACGCCAATTAAAAAAATCAACATGTTTTTCTCTGAAAGTACGTACACACCGTGCACAGTCATTAACACCAGTGCATTAATCAGCACGTTTTGCAACACGGTTTTGCAGTGTGCTTACGACTGCAGTGCTCTGGGATGGAGTTGTAAAAGCCTAAAACAAAATGTGAAAGTGCATGATGAAGGAGAGGCAACATCACAACAGTAATTATTGTGCTTTAAGATGGACAGGCTGCTTCCTCAGGTTAAGCCAGACCAAACCTATTGCTGAGGAATAGCCATGGGATAAAAGCAGGGCAATATGGGGAATCATCACGTGGTGTGTGCAGGAAAAGCAAATGCCGTGACTGGGATAGCAACTAGAATTTTGGGGGTTTTTATTCACAAACACATGACAGGCAGTCCTGCTAATATGCAGGATATATTTTTCTTTCGTTTTCTCTTAACCAAAAATCTGAATGCTACATGTGTGGGTTGTTTTATATATGGGTGTTACACCACTGTCTCATGAAATTCCTTCGGACGGTGAGCAACCACCACAGCTTCTTACAGAGTGACAGCATCCCACTTAAAAACTGCAGAGATGAGCACAGATAAACAGCCCAACAACGTAGCAATCAGCCATACCGATTTTGGGTATAGCTAAAAAGTGTTTTGTACTTCAGACAGAACAGGTGAAATAAACCAGACGTCAGGTGGACAGCAAGGCCAACAGAGATGGTGGTGCTGTAGCAACTGCTCAAGCTCTTACAGGCATGCTGGTAGAGCTCTGAAACATTGTCTATCACAAAGCACAAGGCAGGTCATCAGGCTGCTCCCATTCAGCACTCCAGGAAACAAACTGGTTAATTTAAATGAACCTGGACTCTTGCTAATCTGCTAGCATAAAGCAGCGGAAGAGACCAGATATGCCATCAGCTTCCACTGGAATTCAGTGGAACCGAGCTGCAGCTGCATTAACTTAGAAAAAGCTGTCCATACAGAAACCTGAGCAGTGATCTTTAGGATGCAGCTTTCCCCGTGGGACAATGATGCTGTGGTTAGGTGCTGCAGGAGCTGTTGCACAGCATCTTGTCCTCAGCTACAAGAACAAGAGGATGGTAAATTAGTTGCACTGCCGCTTGGAATTGGTAAAGCAATTCCTGCTTACAAAACATCTGTCCTTTCTTGGAAAGGCACTGTTGGAGAAGTCCTAGGAAGCTACGTGCACCGGGCTGAGATACACCAGATTCAGCTTCAAGGCAGGAGCTGCACAGCTGTGTGAGTGCCACCCTTTGTCCGGGATAATCACTTTTCTTTTTCAGAAACAGCATTTAGGAAGAATCACACCATGGTGGCTACAAACCTTCCAGTACCTGGCTAGCCTTCAGCCAGCTCAGGAAAAGGAGACAGAAAACGTGCATGTGTACATCTGCCACTGCTTCCCAACACTGCCAGCAACCTGCCCAAAGAGGACACGTGTGGCTGTAACTCTCCTAGGTCTGAGCAATTTAGCCTGAGATCAGCTAAAAGGGGGTTACAGCTCCACACCTTCACTGCAAACTGCAGCAGCAGCAACCAAGAGTTTGAAACGAATTACCTTCAAGTACCTTACACGTCAAGGCGTTCTGTAATAGCTCACAAACTGCTTAATTCAAGTTTCCAGTGCACATTCTGCACAGGTAATTCTAGAGCAAGTAATACTTACCTAGCATTTCCAAGAAAAGTAGACTACGAATTAATGCCATGATTTACCAGACCTACTTCACATATGCCTTCATCTTATGCTCATTTCTAGTCTCTAAAATAAAATGCATCTGTAACAAATTAAGTTTTGAATAAGATCTTTTAAAAGCTAAAATCAATGACAGTTTCAAGAGGTAAGGAAGAAGAGTGGCATCTGCTCCTTTATCACCCACCTCTGCAAGTGGTGTCTATTTACTTTAATTTACATCTGCCTCCCATTTACCAAGGAGACATTTAATAGGGATAAAATACAAGTAAACAAATATAAGCAATGAATTGGCCCTCCTGGCCAGTGTTTGAGTGCTGTAATTGTCTGGTATTTCATAATAAGGGCTGTTCCTGAGGTTACATGCACATTCTCAATAAACATGAGAGGGAGGAAGATATATATTTGAAGTTATTACCAGAAAGCATTATCAGTGTGGTACTAACCTTATCTTACATGCCTTCTGCCACTTGGATGTGGGTTTCATTACACTGAATGTGATTTTCCAGCTTGTTCTCATGGGGAATGGGGAGTCTGCATCACTGTGCTTTGGTTTTAAGAACTGCATCAGTGTAAAATCTAGGTGTATCTGGTCCTGCAGGTATTTGTTTGCCAGTAAAAGCATTGATGAGTCAACATCTGTACTAACTGGAAAAACAGGATTGATCAGTATTTTACATGCTCCTAGAGGCCCGATTTTAAGAGAAAGCTGAGCTGTGACTGTATGAGCACTGGGGGATCAGAAATAAGTCATTCACTCACTGTCACGCTGCAGGGACAGCAGCACACTGCATGCAGTTTCTTTACAAGCACTTCATAGCAGAAGTGTCACCAACAGACCTGCTGGGCCCGAAACTGAAGCAATTCACACTTAATTCCTCCATGACTTCAGTAGATGGAAATGCAAAATTGGGCTTCTAAACATGAGGAGAAACCAAACAGAGCTGTCTGACCTTCATGCCCTCAGGCTGCAAAGGAGAACAAGGTGAAAGAAGATGCAGTTCTGTGAATCAGGGTCATGCTGCCCCAGGCTGCTCCATCACACCAGGCTGATGCTGCCCTGATGCAACTTGGTCCAGGCTCTGTAGACCAGCTTCTCATTCCTATGTGCTCATTTTCCTTCAGCCCTGTGTCTCACTGAAGGAGCAGCTCCTGTTATCTTCCCCTTTTGCACAACCTTTACCCTTTGAGGTTCCTAGTCTTGCCTCACCTGCACTCTGATTACTGCCTCCTGGCTCCAGCCGGACACAACAGTTTTGGCACTAAAGTAGGCGAGGTAACAGGGAGGCACAGGCAATAAAAACGACCCAAGACTGAAACAAAGGAATGGAGCATTCACTTTCTTCTATTGGCCACGTTTGCCTGACAATAAGCACTTTGCTCTCGCTGCTGTAATACTCATTGCACTGGAGTGACTTCACGCAAAGCACTTCTGCCACCTGCACAACTCATCTCAGGTATTACACAGCTCACACTCAGCTATTATTTCATCCGTCTTTATCAGGCTGTAAAAACGTCTGTGAATATCATCTATGTATTTATCTGCCATCAGACACCTCAGCTGGAAGTCACGGAAAGCTTAAGTTTAGGACAGGATTGCAAATTGAGTATTTCAAGCTCTTTTATGGAGGAGCCTCCTGCTCAGTACAGTAAAACAGTAAAAGCATACCTCAAAATCTGAAGAGACTCGACTCTACTCTTCTGTGCTGAACATCTTCATTCTAATCAACTTCCACAAGTAATTATTTGCCTTTTAAAGCCTCTCTATGACAACGCTCCTCTGCTCAACCCTGAAATAGTATTTTTGCTTCTTACCTGACTCAAGAGAGGTAACCCTCTAATTTTGGAAAATACACAGATTTTGCACACTTTTAATTCTGTTTTGTTTTTATAAGAGCTTTTCAAAGAGACTAATTGAAAGAGACTGTTCAAAAGGACTCAGAGCTGGAATATTTTACATCCTAACTCTATCAATCTCCCTCCACCTATATGGAGAAAAGAGGAGGCTGGGCACTGATCAGGATAATTTTCTAAACTGTGAAGCACAGAAGGAAGGAGGAGTCTGAGTCAGCTGTGTGTTGTGTTTATCACTGTTCTTTTCCTTTTTAGCTGTGTTTTAAAAGTCAATTCCACAGCTTGCTCCCCTGCAAGCAGCAGCAGAGGAAAACTGTTCAGTTTCACTACTGCCCACCTGTCAGTCGTTTTCATTTAACTGGAAAAGCTCTGGGATGCAGCAAGGACACCCAGCTGTCTTTCTGCTGACCTGAGGACACAGCATTTCCACTTTTCACTTTCAACCAACTTTGAGTACGTTATCACACACCTTGCTGCTTTCAGTACAGATTTCACCTTGTTGACTGAACCCAAGTGTAAGAGCAGAGCAATGACTTCACCTTGCAGTGAGCATACCTTTAAAATGAAATGTTGGTGCTCGCTGCACCAATAAAGCAAGACTCCAGTCTCTGATTTTAACAGCTAATGAATTTTCAAGACGGGGGGCTGGTGAGGGCACAAAGGAAGAAGTAGTAACCTGGACCAGAGGAGGTAACTTGGAAGAAATACTGGAATATCTTTCATTCTTTCCATCCTGATGAAGTTTTGGTAATGGATGAACAAGTCTGCAATTAAGCGAGTGTCTTGTTTTCTCAAAAGGAACTATGCAGCAACTGACAAAAAATGATCAGCAAGAGAGAGACAGATGAAATACACGTACGAACGAAGAATAATAATGATGGAGCTTAATTACCTGCAAAAGCACAACTGCATTAAAAAGAAAACCAATAACATAACTTGGTATTTTAGGCTTAAATCGTATTCTTGTAATTAAATATTCATTTACCTTTCCATGTTCTTTCCTCATGTGGGAGATGTAAACGTCTCTCTGAGTGAAGAACCTATCGCAATCCCAACACGTCCAGCCACGGCTGCTGACTTTTTTAGGCTCTCCTTTCTTTAAAGGAGAAGGAGATTTCTTCTCTAATTTTTCTGTTCCATTGATGGATTTCGTGTCCTCTTTATTGTGGCTGGCTGAGTTCTGATTTGTGGGTTTCGTACTCAGAGGTAAATTTATCCCCAGGTTTGGTGGCCCTTCAACACTTTTCAAAGTTCCGTGCATTGACTACAATAAAATAAAAAGTAAGCAATTAACGCGGGCGTGTACAATTGTATTAAAATGCTGAATGCCCTCTGAATCAAAAGCGTTCATCTGCTTTGCCATACTCTTATCAGATCACATTCCTCACTTAAAAAAACAATGACCAAATGAAGGTAAAGTGTAGCGTGAGCAGACACTGGCCAACAAACAGATGCCAGTCACAGCTAAAGAGCAGTTCACCAAAAAGTGAGACTGTGAAGGTTTAGCTGCTGCTGAGCAAGGAGAAAAAAGGGCTCAGTGAATGCATTAAGTTATATTCGGTCTCTTGCTTTACTTACCTAGTGTAGCTAATTAAAATCCTCATTTCAAACTATGTGTCTAAGTAGAGATTTGCAAGAAGGCAGGGTTTTTACTGACAAGTTTCGTCTAAATGAGCATTGGCAAATAAGACAGGAAAAGGCAACTCTGGAAAGATCAGGCAGTTTATTATGATACGTTATTATTTTATGCTAAGCCTGTGCTAACTCTGTCTCACTGCATGCTCAGGGCTACACACTGCTAACAGTCCTTGGAACCGATGGTGTGCAGGGCTGGAGGGGACAGCTAAGAAGCTGCTCAGCACCTTGCAGCTCTCGTGAAGTGACCCTCCCCTTCCAGATTCTAGAATCTAGGATTCCATAACTCATTTGTAAGACGGGAAGAACTCTTCCACTTCCCCTCTCCCAGTCTCTGGAGCCAGTGCCACATGGCAGCGCCATCCCTGAGCCTGCAAAGAAGACAACTCCTGGAGGATCAGCTCTGTGCCTGGGTTTCAGACAGGGACGTGGACACAACAGGAGGCAGTCAGCAGTGTTCTGGGCCAAGACACATGACTGCAACCTAGAATGAATGTATTGCTGAGCACATTAGCAAGGGCTCCTTCCCATGCCATTTACATTTCCATTGCCATTTACAGGGCAGCACTCTCATCCCCTCACATACTCATCTGCATTATAACTCCTTTGGATGATGTGTCTGGCTACCCTAAACACGCAGGCAACTTCAGAAACAAAAAGCAACTAACACGATCTGGGTTCTGAGACTGTAAGAATGCCCATCTGCTCCTCCAGGATCTGCTCCTCCTCAGCTTCAAGTACTGAGCTCTTTTGTAAATAATGTGGCCCTTGGGACTGCTTGCTGGTTCAACTGCAAATGTCAGCCTGACCTGCAGAACATATTCTTCTACTGAGTCGTTGCTTGGAAAAGAAAGCCAGCACTTTTAAAAGCTGAAACATTATTAAAAAGCCAAGTGCACTGAACTGACTGACAGGTGCTGAGAGCAAAAGCAAACTGTGCAGTGAAGAGGTTGCCTGGACTACCCTATTAATTGAGGACATGGAGGATCAGCACGGGGTGGGCAGGGGTGTCCTGCAGCTTCAGGATTTTTGTAATTAAATATTCATTTAACTTCACTCAACAGAAGACTTATCTGGAAATTCCATGCGAGCACGTAAGACGTCCGTGCTCAATTTTCTCAATACCTGAATGTTTAACTTCCTAATTAAAACAAACAAACAAAACCAACAAAAGCACTAATGTATAGCATTGAGTCACAGTGGTTTCTGTGATGATCATCAACAGAACTGAGCCTGTTACACCTCCAGTCCAGACCTCTGCTCCCTGCTCTCACCAGCTGTTAGACATTTTCCTCCTGTGAGCCACCAGAGGAAAACAAGATACACTTTTTGTCAACAAGACACATTCTCATCAACAGGAAAAATTCTAGATTTGTTGCTTTTTTTTTTTTGGTAGTTTTAAACAACCACCCTCAGAGCCTCTTTCTGTCCTTTTCCATTCTATTTTTGTGCATATGGTCTCTGCCTTGCTGGTTTATGTCCAGCCATGCCAAACCCAGCTGGGCTGAGCTCTGCCCCCGTCCAGCAGCCTTCCCCTCTCTTGTGTTCTTTTTTGCTTTTATCTGTACACTTTCTTTTTTTTTTTTAGTTTCCTCCTTAAGTCCCATTTACCCTTTGTGGCTGCTGTTCCTACTGCTATACACACCTCCTAAACGTGAAAGCATGAGCAACTCTGAATAAAAGCAGTAATACTGTCACTGAATACCTACATTCTAATGTTCCAGACTCGTTCTCAAAAAGCTCTGGATCATTTATAGTGAAACGTGTTCATCAGTACAAACTCTGGCATGGAAAACTATAGCCAGAAAAATTATAAGCACCCAAATCCAAAGTAAAAGAGCAACTCTACAGTAAGGTGCTGAGCAGCCCCAGCCCATAAGGATAGCTCCTGGCTCTAACTATGGTCAGATCCTGCCCTAGCACAGTGGTTTAGAGGGATGTATGTGCAGATGTGATGGTACTTTTCTGGCATAGGTCAAAGGCGATTCTTACAGTAAACACAAACTGGTCAGAGTCAAAGAAAACATACTGCCAGTGTGTCTGAACCTTGGGTCAGCCCTTCCCTGTCTCCAACTCAGGTTTAAAACTGGCTTTAAGGACAACTTTCGCTCCAAGACTTCTGATCTTGTTTTCTTCACAACGTCAGTGATTTCTGGGGACTAAAGGTAACACACTTGAGGCTAAAACACAAAGTGATCTTCAGTAGACAAGAAAGATGTTTTACTTTTCACTACTACCAATTTTACTATTTAAACAGTAAAATTTCAGCAGTTAACCAGGTACCAGATCCTGCTAATAAGTTCTAAGAGATTTCAGCACAGCCAGTATTTAAAATCTACAGCTAATGGGTCAGAGCCAGGGGGCTGCTGGCTCTCTGCAACACGATTCGAAGGATGACAGTAAATCTTCTCCAGTAAATTCATTCATGCAGTTATAGGGATACTGATGAAAAAAATCCACTTCAGGTTTCTTTTCTTTGCCTGAAAGTGTTCATGTGTGTCTGTGAGCACACACAGATTCTGCATCTATTCAAGAAACACACCACCAGCAAGTTCTGAGCATCACAGAGTTGATTTGGTCACGTACTCAGCATTCTCAGCTCCTGGCCACTGGAATAATTCTTCAGTGCTCTAAATAAGGCTCAGGAGTTGCTAGGATTGGACCAGCTTACCTCAACGACCCCACAACGATTCTGATGAGGTACTGAATGCAACATTCCTGCTACATCCAAATCAACATCCCTACTGAAAAGCTCAGTAAGTGGTTACAGTGCAGCTGCTGAAGGTTTAGACAAAAGGTACCATTTTAGCATTGGTGGTTGTTACTCACAGATTACTCTCTTGGAACCACTAACATTTCTTCCAGCAGCCTTCTTGGAATTGCGAGCCTTTCAACAGTATTTTCCCAAACGATACACTGCACGACAAACAGTATCTAAGAATAAAACAAGAGATGCCTACACACCTTGATATGATCCATCATAAGCTGTTTCTGTGCATACAGAAGAGAACAGTCTGGACACTTGAAAACAGACACCTTCTGGTTTTCAATGTGCTGATCAAAGTGGCGATAGAGCAAAGGTTGTAGAGTAAACACAGTGTCACACATAGAGCATTTATATATTATTCTAAAAACAGAAGTACAATAAACAGTGTCAGTCATGGTGATGATCTAGCCACAGGAATCATAACGTTAACTTTTTTCTCAGCAGAGACAAGATCTGACACGTGTAAGCAATCATTTCACACTGCCTGAACAAAGGTAAATTGCAACTAATTCAAAACAACCTCCAGAACCCAAAAGAAAGCAGCAGGAGAAAAGGCAGAAAAACAGAAAGGAAAAAAAAAAAAAGTACAAAAAACTATTAAGCCAGAAAACAACAGCATGTGCCAGTTACATACGTAACATCAACTTCTGCTTATGATACTCTGAAAGTCAAACATCTTCAGTTCCTGAAGTCATGCAATAACTGAAGGACAAAGAATATACCTCGTTCAGGTTGCAAAAGCAATTCGTTTTCAGGGAGTCCCTGATACGACCATAACCAGTAATGCACTCTGAGATAAACTTATTTTTACCAACGTGTATGGCTTTGAGACTCCTGTGTGCCAGGTTCTGGAACCTGTTAATGCTCTGACACAGGAACCTCCCTGGGTGACAGTTCCCTGCTTTGCCATTACAAGCCATTAAGAACCCATCTATAAATGCAATGCACAGACACCACCAAAACTGCAACTTCCTCTCTCAAGGCGTATCAGTTTTTGGTTTTGCAAATGAATGAAAGAAAAGTAACACAGAAACTTGCTACAGATGGTCAGATAAGACAGAAATGTAACCCACTGGCCATCCGTAGTGGCACGCCTGAGAAACTGCAGATAAAACAAGGGAAAGCCAGGAGCAGGAGCTTAGTGCAAGGATGGCTGCAGCCTTCCCAGCCCCACCAGCCTGACACTGATCTCTGTCCTGGAGAGTGACCTTCCATTAAAAAAACACCAAACCTTGTTAGCACACTACATTTTCTCATTACCCACATAAATTACCCAAACTCCTTCCCATTTCCCTCCAAGCAGCTTTCTCCAACAGCACGCTGTCTGAAAGAGCTCTAAAGACCATTCTGCACTGTGCTCTGAGGTGACAAGGACAAGGACATGAAGTCCCACCCGTTCAGTGACTCCGGATATTGGAAACAATGAAAAACATTACAGTTATTTACATGAACCTGTGAAAAAATTATTTCTGCGCTCTCTCTTCCTCGTGGCCACGTTTTTCTTTCTCTGCTTCTCCCATGTGCTACGAGATCTGCTATTTGTGCTGCATCCCCTCTGTACTGCACTGCTTTCTGCAGCAGAGAGCTGTGCTGCTGGGCACAAATGCTCCTCAGGCATCATTCTGGAACCATATTCCAGTTTGCCACGTTACTGCTGATGTCTACTCCTCAAAATCCTGATTGTTTAGATAAGTCCTGTAGGAAGCCAGAAACAGGGAATGAATGCTCCTTGATGGTAAGAGGTAGGGAGAAAAACAGACTTCTAAAATGCTGTTTCACCTCACACAGCTCCTATCCATACAGATCCCACATATCCTACTGACAGTTTCAACTGAGATCCCAAGAGACCACTCTTGAGAAGCAGACTGATCACTGCCCAGCAGATCAGCTGCCATGGCTGCAGGAGGAAAACCCTGCCCAGGCACAGTGCTATTGCAACCACAGCACAGTGCTACTGCAACCACAGCACAGTGCAGGATGCACTGTTGGAGCTCTAAAAAACAAAGCACTCACTGTGCAGTGGATCTCCTCCCCAGGCTGCTGTACACAGCTGCTGAGCATCCATGCACGCTCTACCCCAGCACAGCAGCTCAAGGTAACTGGAGGCAGTGCTTTTACTGCTAGCAGGGGAGTACTGCAGTTGTGTAGCAAATCTTCTGGTGAACATGCACAGAGCTGGTACCAACTGCACACACTGCCTAAGTCTGGGATGTCAGACACTTTCCTTCTGTCCCTTAGGAGCTGTCTCTTACAGTGCTGTCTGCATCTCTGCCAGCAGTGTCAGAGCTGACTGCTCACCAGCCTGCAAACACCTGGGGCAACTGAGCTGCTGCTGCACAGCCCTGAATGACTGCTGCCTTGAGCCACACAGCACGCACTGACACGGCTGCTGCAAACAGCAGAACGTCCGTCCATCTGATAAACAATCTGACATGCCTGTCAACTTGTCCCTTTCCCTCGCTAAAAAAAACCAGTACCTGTGGGACCTGTACTGCACTTTGTACCAGGAGTGCAGGATATATTCATAATCTGGCTTCATAAGCAAGAGTTCTTTCAGTATTCAAAAAGAGATCAGCCATGGAGAACGCCTGAATGCTGCTCTCAGTCTACTGAAAAAATAAAACCACATGCAATCTTTGGCAGCACGTGAAAGCATCTCAGGGGCTATGAGAGAAAGCTGTCAGGGCTGAAAGCTGAAAGCCATTCCGTGCTTTATATTAAATGCTCTATATTAAAATTTCAACCATTTGAGAATCACTGCAGATGGACTTTTTTTTTTTAATAAATATGGCATATTCATCAAACGTGGATGTATTTCTTCTTATACAGCACTCAACACTACAGATGAATGGGAATTTGTGCAAGGAATGCTTGGTGTCACTTGGCCAAGAGCTATCCTCAGGAGCCAATTAACTTAATAGCTCCCCTTTTCAACTGACAGTGAGCAACACAAACACTTTTAGTTAATCCTGAGGAAAACCACAGGTTGCAATAGGCAAGACAAGACCTTATTAAGGTCAGGCAGTAATCAACATGGGCATCCTGAGCCCAGAGGTGACACTGCACTCCTACAGACACCTATGATGATGGAGCATGGAACTCCAGACACTGCAGGGACTGGGAAAGCCCGACAGCACCACGATAAAATTGGCTGATTTCAGGACAACACCACTTTCACATGGAAAGGAAACTTAATTCAAAATATTTAATTCACCAGATTTACGAGAAGCAGCTCAAAAGGTCTGAGCACAGGTCAGAAAACCTTCTGTACTTTTCACCCGGGGAATATCTCACTCTGGTGGGGATCTCAGCCCTTTTGTCCTCTCTAATCTGGAAATCAAGGGAACCCCAAACAAGTTTTAGGTTAAGTGCTGGTATTTCAGAGCCTCTCCCTGAAGATATTCCCTCGAGTTAAAACAAGGTGTCACTTGCCACTGGTGCAACTGTCTTAATTTAGTGTCAGATGCAGAAATTTTGTGCTCTTTTGCCAAATAAATAAAAACACCCCCTTCTCATAGGCTAGGAGGAAAAGGAGAATTCCTGTGAAATCCAATTATTACAATGCACAAGGCACTGTTTCTCCCACCTGCTTTCTATTTTCCTGAGCCTGCTGTTTGTGACAAGGTTCTGCAGTGCTCACAGTGTGCTCTACGTCCCTCAGAGAAACAGGATGGAGTTACACAGTGGGGCATTCACTCTCAGCACAGCACTCTTACCAGCAGAAGAGGCAGGCAGAAGACAGGCTGTGACTGCAAGCACGGAGCTGAGGTCAGTACAGCACAGAGTCTGAATTTCAGGCATGCTGCACCTGCAGCTCCCACCAACTGAAGATGCAACATTTGTACAACTGAGATCTGATTCTCACTTCCTAATTGTGCCCCTGGCTGCCTTCAGTAAAGCACTCACTGATGCGATGTGCAACCTTCCCAGCTGCAGAACGGAAAGAGTTCAGCCTTAATGCAGAAAAGAAAGCTCACGTGTCACAGAAAGCTTACACAGTACAGCTCTAGGCACGTTTTTATTCTGAACTCTGCACAAGGCGCACAGCCAGCAGCTCTCACCTATCAGCTTGGGCTTGACAGACAGGACAGCCATAGCAGAGCTAAAACTCAGTGCTTGCAGCTTGCACGAAGCATTGACAGCTTAAGGAAAGCACTGCCTGGCCAGCAGCTCTGCCTGCCCTGAGGAAGCCTACAGCTCTGCTGCCTGGAGGTAACCCCACCAGCATACACCCTAACCCCTGAGCACTGCTGGCACTGAAGGAACCAACCTTCCGAATCCACCTACAAGACTGCTGTCTGTAAGCATGATAGAAAATAATCTGAACTTTTCAACCACATGTTGTAAAACCACTACAGAAGTGCTGATGAGCCTTAGCAGTTCTCCTTGGAATTACATTCGCTAAGCTTGTAGTAAAAACGCCTATAACCAGACTAAAAAAACCCAGCATCAGCAACGCACTAGCAGGAGTCTGAATTACTTCTGCAGTTCACAGTGGGATCACAGCATTTTTGGGTTTGAAAAGACCTCACAGCCCTCCAAGCCCTGCCATGGGCTGGCTGCCCACCAGCTCAGGCTGCCCAGGGCCCGTCCATGGCCTCGAGCACCTCCAGGGATGGGGCACCCCCCTCTGGGCAGTGCTGGGGTCTCACCACTCCCTGGGTAAAGAACTCATTTCACATCTGACCCAATTCTCCTCTTTTATTGTAATACTTTCCTTAGCGCTGCGCTCAAAGAACAGATATTGCTGCTGTGAATGGAAAGTTAACTTTTGCCAAACTCCTAGCTAAAACCTCATAAAAATATCACAAGAACACCACACATTACCAACGAATGACAAACTGTTGTACGGAACTTAACGCTGTAAGCACAAGACAGAAAGCAATTCCACAAGTTATTAAAATGCAGGCAAGTACAGTAAAAGATTAATTTTGCTTACTTTGGTTCGCCTATCTTGATACCCGGGTGTTGTGTATAGGCATGGGAATGTGTGCTGGGAGCAGATTTAAATGCCATGGGACAGATAGGACATTTGTAAAAGACTTCACAATGAGAACCTTGAATGTGAGACTTGAGTGCCGCCACATCAGAGTACACAACATTGCAATGCACGCAGCTGCAAAAAGAGTGGAGAAGAGTCAGTTCAGCCTAGCAAAAAGCAGTACTGCAAGACACCGAATCAACACTGGTTTTCAAGCAAGTGGGAGAGGTAAGCATATATCCATAACCAGATAAAACTACGTCATTCTGTCAATTCAGGAGTATAAACAACAGAGTAGGAATCAACATAAGCAGAGATCTGCGTATCGAAAGAGAAAAAAGTTTCCCAAATTTAACTCTGTAGGTCTGAGAGATGTGAATTCAGAACATTTCATGGGATTACAACAGGACAGACAGAAGGGTGAACAGAGAAGCATCCGCTGATTGTAAAAAGAAAGCTTAAAACCTCTGTGAATCTGTAAAGTTTTTTACAAAAGGCATTTTTTTTTTTTTTCACATGCAGTGGATTGTGCAGGCTTCACCGCTACCACCAAAATGGAAAACCAGCAAGACACGTGGACCATTCCCCTTGTTAAGATTTGACAAAGACATAACTGTAATGATTTTCTGAACCGATAATTAAATCAACGCTTGGATTTAATAAGAAAAAAAAAGAGTAAATTTAAATTCAGGGCAACTGAACTGAATCTCAACAATCACAACAACGCATCAGATTGGAACTCTGGAAGTATTTTTCAAAAACATACTTTTGCACTGCCGAAAATTTGTGACCTTCCCGCATCTATTCTAAAATAAAACGATTGAAAAATGGGATTAAAATGAGCACATGAGCATTCCCACACACAGCGGCCCCTTTCAGTTTCATGCACCTTGTGGACAAAGTGGTACCCAGTACCTCCAAGGGTATGCTGCAATAAACAGAGACAACACCATCCCTCAAACCACCCCATTTCTTACTGATCAGTACTTTGCAGCTAGAGTTTTACAATTTAAACCTAGAAGACTGCCAAAACAATAATTTTTGCACCCACCAGGCAGTATGATTTTTGTGTAAACATGACCTAACTTTCCAACAGTTTTGATGATAGCCATAAGGCAGGAAATAGCAAAAAAACTGCTCTCAATACTTTTTTTTTCAAATGCCCCACCTTTAAATGCTATGAAATATCATCCTTTCCCTTGGAAGCACTCAATACACCTTCCTAATACTACTAGTTCAGTTTGCATCCACTTGGGCTCCAATTCCTGGGCATTTAATAAAGAGCTTTCCCAGTCTGCCAGCTCTGCTCTGTCCTTCGTGACCCTCTCCTTTAAGCAAGTCCCCACTGCATGCTACAGTGCCCTCAGCAGTGCTGGGTCCCATCTCATCCCCCTCTGCCCCACTGTCTGCCTGTTTTTCTACAGTGATGTGAAGTTGTAAACAGTCCTCAGCATCTGCTGTTGTACAGTAGAGCAGCTCCTAAGGCCCAAACCTTCCTTTCCTGGAATGCTGGGTCACCTTCATTCTCAGCATGCAAGGATGCAATTCAGCTTAAGGCTGAGATGTTCAGCTGCTTCACAGCTCCTACGGAAATGCAGGACAGGCTGTGTTTCCCCAGTGAAAGGCCCTGGCAGCAGGGAGCACAGCAAGGAAGGCATTATGCTCTCCTGGATACTGCTTCTCCTTGCCTGGACAGTTTTGGTTTGCTGTCCTCAAATAAAGAAATTCTGATTTAGTGTGACATGAAATGTTACTGGTAAATCTTGACAAGTTCAGTTACGTTGTCACGATTCACCATGAAGGACTCTGAGATTTCCTGGTGCTGCTGGTGCAGGCCAGCAATCCCTCAAGGTGATGCCAAGAGACAGGCGAGGGGAAAGAGCAGAAGAGTGGAGGAGGCAGATGTAAGAAATATGTAATAAAAAAGACTGCTGTGCTTGGGAGACCAGAGCAAAGCAAACCAAAGAAACATGAGCTGAGAGCTGTGTCAGGGCCATGGGTTTGGACTGAGAACGGACAGCAGCTGGCCTGATGCAAGCAAAGTGCTTCCCTCCTGGGTGGAAGATGTCCCAGCAAAGGAGCTGGGTTCCACGAGGAGCAGAGGCTGCCTGCCCAGTGGGATGCTACTCGCCCTTCTGTGGTCCAACAGCATGCAATGGGGGATGCCTGAGGACTGCGGGCTGCTCCATCCCTCGCTGTGCTGCCAGCCAGCCAGCAGCCTTCCCGGATTTCCCCACTGTAGCTTTCAGTAGCTTTCCCCAGCTCTCAAGGCCTTTGAAACTCAGGACTTCCACGAAACACCTCTGGTCCCTGTTCACTCTGTGAGTTGCCGTTACAGGAAAACAAAAGAACAGAAGGAAAACTGCAGAGTAACGATGAGGAACCAGAAGAGCCAGGCTGCTGGGGTGAGAAATGTCATCTGCAAGTGGTGTAAAGCGGAGTGATCTTCCCTTCCCACAGCAAATGGATTAAAAAGGACTTGACAAAGCTGCTCTAGCTATGCTACCAGGCAGGTGCAGGATGCCCGCCCACGGCCTGACAATAAATTCTGGTAGAAAATAAGAAAATGATTATTCTACCAGAAAGAACAGTCTGAAATTCAATGTTCTGGGAAAAAAAAAAATCAAGAAGCCCGTTATGAATGTGAAATTAAGAAAATACATCTGAATTTTCTAGGCCTTAGAAACTGTGAAGCCCTGAATCTGACATATTATGGCTGGATGAGATTAGCTAATATTCTGATTTAATAACATACAAGAGCGGATGCTCAAAACAAACTGTGTTTTAATGCACAATTTACTCAAAAAATTGTACTACTAATAGAATTGTTGCCATGACAACCTTAAGCCCAAGAAGCTCTATCCTACAAACACAGCTTATGAAAATGGGAAATTACTTTTGAAAGCATAAATTACATATAAATTGACAACGAAAATAATCATAATACTGACCGAAAACCAACTCTTCGAGTATAATGCAGGCAGTTCTTAGTGACATGAGTCTGGAAGTGGACAGATCTGCAGATTGCTCCACATTCAGGACACGTGTATGGAGATTTATGCTGATGAATTCTCTGGTGTGATGCAAAACTGCACTGGTTAGGAAGCAGCATCTGGCAGATATTGCATGTCTTCTAAATGATAAACCAAAACAGATGAAACAAAAGGTTGGGTTCAGCTATACACAATTTCTCGTGTCAAACACTGTAATATAAATAAAAGGTTAAATGTTACGACTGTGATGTGAGCCAGAAGAAGCAGGCAAGGTCAAAATTCAGACTGTACTGACCAACCTTGCAGGGCTGAGGTGGTCCCTCCTGACACCACATATACTGACATTCTGGCACAACAAAGCTCCTTCATTCATCACTGAGCATAGAAGATGTATTGTAGCTTACTTACATTTAATTCAGGTGCCTCACAAGGTTACTTTACTAGTGCAAGGGGCCCCAAGTGAAGCTTGGGAAACAAATCTAATGGTTTTAACCACAGAAATTAAAAAGCAAACAAACAAACTAACAAAAAAACACAAGAAAACACAGAGGAAAAAAAAACAACCCACCACCAAGTACATTATCCTCATTTTCTTTGACCCCTGCTCCCAGTGAGTTCTACTGGGAATATCCTGAATGCCAATAAATGGGGTATTGTCAATCAGAAAGACTGTAGTTAATTTCAAAATGCATTTCTGAGGCTGAACTCCAGCATCTGCACTGTAAAATATCAAACTATCATGCATCTAAAAGTACAGGTATTTAACAAAGTCACAAAGTCTCTGAAGGGCCATCTTTCTAAGTGCAGGCTTTACTCCCTATATGACATCTTTTCTTGCATTCTGTCACACAGAAATAACTTTAAAAGATCTTCAGCAAGTGTGTAGACCATTTGCCAAGTCAGAAACACTGGAATTCTTTGCTTTGTGCCACTCGTGGGGTTAAACACAAACCATGCAGTGGAGCTGTCAGCAGGATTCGTTGCTGCTCACAGCTGCTTTCCATCCCTGGAGGGCACAAGGAACAGAACCTGCAGCACCACGGGTTCCACCTGCAGCAATGCACCTCTGCATCTCTCAGCAGTGCCTGACAGTCTGTATGGAGCTTAACTTTCATCACGAACACTGCTCCACTGACTCCAACAGAAATACCAGCACCAGCCTTCGCAGGCAACGATTTTAACCTCATTTCCTAAGGCCTCGCTCTGTAAAGCGTTTAATATTTCTTAAAACTTCAAATAATTTCTTGTGACTTTAAGTAACTTCTTACGAATTTAAACATTCCTTATGTCTTGGGAATTATGAATTTCACCAGTGACTTAGGAAGATTTAAAAGCAAAACCAAGACTCTTACATGACATGGAGAGTTGTGAACACGGGATTTGCCGTGTCCCCATACAGTCATGCCACCCATACAGTCTTGCACATGGATGTGTGTATTTTGCAAGATTACAGACAAAACAAGATCTCCTGAGTTGTATTAAAAACGATTTGCTAATCTACGGATAAATAAATCTTCAAATGATCAAGAAAATCCTTCTCCTCACATTAAAACAATTACTTCCTGGGGCTTCACCAAGTCACACCCTCCTTCCAATTTGGGCCCTCCTTCAAATCTGTTAAAGATGGTCAGTCAGAGCACACAGCAGCAGAATCAAAGCTGCTGCTGTAGAAGGAATCACACTGTGCTACAAACAAGTTTCGTGGAGTTCTGCCTTATTAGCATTGGCAACTTTGCTAGAACAAAAAAGTCACCTGCTCTCATTTAATCAACAAGACAGATCCGAACTGCAATGACTAAAGCACACCTGTACCACTACTTTTTCTTCCAAATAGAACCCTGTTTAACCCTAAAGTAATTTCTTAATTGCTTTACATACTGACAATGCTACTGATATTCTAAGCACGAGCACGAGAGTGTTTTTGTACTGGAACCTGCAAACTTTTTTTCTTTTCATCTAAATGCCTTTTTGAAGCTGCATAAAATGGTTGTAAATTATTTTTTAAACATTAATTTTAGGGAGAAACATTAACACGGAATATCTGGAGGTCACACGCTCTGAAGCAGCCGTGTTCTTTTGCATGGTTCACTCTAATGTGTGTCTGAACAGTCTCCATCCACAGCTCTCAAGCGTCCTGACAAAAGAAAGATGGCAAAATGCAGAACCTTGAAGCAGAACAAGTTAACCAAAGAAAATTTACTACCCTCCAAATGCAGGTTGGATATCAGCACTGCTATCAGCCTAAGGAATTAGCAGATATCCTTGCACAAAGCTTTGTCTGAGATGGATCATCTGCAGCCATTACAGTGCTATCACTCTGATTAGAACCTCCGTGAAACAGGAGGGTTGAAACTGCGCTCAAACACAAACAGACATCCACTGAAATGCCAGTGTTTGTCCTCAGTGAGCAGTGCATGGTCTGAGCCACTCACCCTTGCTTCTGACACTGCTCAGAACTGATGGGATGCCAACTTTGTCTTCAGCTCAGGCTCACAGGTGGCCAAAGCCAGACTAACTTTGGCTCACTGTGTGTCTGCTGCATTTACTAAGATCCAGCACCATTCCTAAAAGGCACCTTTTGTCATATTGGCATTCATAAGCAGCAGTGCAATGTTGGGCAACAAAGCAAAGTTTCTTACATAAAAGATTCTCATAGTCCTTCCAAAACACTACAGAAAGAAACCTGGATGCTACACTATTTCACAGCCATACAACACTCCTGAACAAGGTTATCCCAGATTCTGATTCTGCAACAAGCAGTCTGCAAGATCCATCTGCCATGGGAGTAATTCAGACCAACACAAAATGCCAGCAATGCTTTTTGCTGGGGCTGCTGGTTTGACAGTTTGAAAAGTACACGTTTTTAATTGAAACTGATTACAGGACAAGAATCTGCTGTGAAATTCTGAAATTCACTTTTGCTTACCATTTTATTCTGGGCTTAAGGTGGCATTAAATTCCAGTTCTCACTGCAACCCATACCAAAATAAAAGTTTTTGAAAACCATCACGTGCCTGCCTTTGAAATCAAAGCTTCAGGGGAAAAAAAAAAGAGGAGTGAGAAGAAAAAAACTGTGGAGTCGGAAAATAAAGATAGACAAGAACTGTGAGTTCTTGAAGACAAATGAGCAACACAGCATCCACCAGAACAACACGCTCACAGCTGAAGATAAGAGGAGCATTAACATGAATTAGACCAGGCTTGCTGCCTTGCTGCCTCAGTAAGCTGGTGAGGGCTTCACTCAGCCATCACTGAGTGGCTTCATTCCTTTCAACAGGATTACTAGCAGAAGTGAGGGATTACAGAAAGAGAACGTTACAGGGAAGATTTTTTAACTGCGAAGGATGTTTTACTATTTTTTAATTCAGAACTGAGCATTCTACCTTTGTAACAAAAGATGAAAAGGAAGTAACAGCTCCTTCCTACTTAGACTCGCGTTAACACACAAAACTGTGTGCAATTTCCATTTCAAGAGCAGGTGGGCACTCAGAACTCATCAATGGGCTGCAAAATCCAATTATTTTTATCTTCCTTCCTCCCCAGGTAAAAATACTTCATCTAGCTTTCCTGTTTTCCTGTTCTATTTCCCAAAATAATCACTGTTTCACAACAAAAACTCAGTGCCAAGCATGTAGAGAAATGAGGACATTTCTTTTTCAAGCCTTTAGAGGGGTAACATTTTTTATAATAAACCTATACAAAGACTTTCTTTAGCAAACACTGCTCTTGCAGAGATGCATGTGCTAGCTGATGAGGGGATGAAAAGGCAAGAAAGCAGGAGGCACTGCTCTCATTAAAGCAACCCTTCAGCTGGATGGCTTCCACGATGCATCTGTACAGCTGCACCACACAGCTCGCAACAAGACACAGCTTAGAAAACGTAATGAAAACTGCTGATGGATGTACCAAAAGGACTAAGAAAAATATTTAATTCATTTTTTTAAGAAGATAGTTCGACAAACTCTCAGAACTATGTTTATTAACAGCGTTCTTTTAAAATGGAATGACAAGAAAAGTGCTTTTTTTTCTTCTGAGATCTGGAAATGCACGCCCTACCACGCAGTAATTAAGGCCTCATGCATGCCTCAGACCTCGTAAGACAGTGAGCTTCCAGCAGGAGATACCAACTGGTGGGCAGTTCTATCTCCTGTACCTCCATGAGCTTCCTCTGATCCTCTGCAGCAATGGGGCAAAAAAAAAACCACTGGGAAGAGGCAGCAGGAAAGGCCAAAGGTGTTTCTACAAAAATGCATCCCTGTACCAAAACAGGCCCCACAGAAAGTACAGAACTGTTTATTATTCAAATTTTGCTGCTCTTTTTTCCATTCTGTTCTTGCCTCGTCCTCCCAACCTATTTCCCCTGGATTTGTCAGCCTCATACATTTGGTTTGTTAAGCTTACAGGCTGCCTTAATTCCTTGTTCTCACAGTGCCACGCGCTACAGGCGCGTGTTTCCCAAGGTCTGCTGGATCTTACCACAAAACAGATGAAACTGAAGGACTTATCATGGAAAATAAGATCAACATGCATGGGCAGAAGAGCTACCTTCCTAACTGAAGGACTCAAACCCCTATCCTGCACGCTGCTGTGAGATTCCAAGAACATTCCTGGCTCGATTGGTCTGAGCAGGGAATAGAGCCCTTCAGGTCCTTGCCAACGTGCAGCAACAAGCTGCTGCATCAAGATTAACCGAATGCTTTGAAATAAACCAGAATTCCTTTTAACTGGCACACCATCATTTAATTAATGATGGGAAGTCTTACAGGGTTATAAAATACACTGCACGCTGATCCACGCTTTTATTGAATGATGTGCTTCTTTCAGATCAGACCACATATAAACCATTTTGAAATTCTTTGCTAATGTAAGTTTAACTCAGTAGTAAGAGAAAGTGGAAGCCAAAAGAAGTGAATAAATGGCCACACAGCAAGAAATGCATGCTAGTGAACACCGCTTTCTGGTTAAAAAAGACCTGAAGACAGCAGCACGCATATCCTTCCAGCAGAATCAATGTGCCATTTATTAGTTGTTTGCCCCTGTAGGTAACAGGAATGCCAAACTCACTCCTAGAGCTATGTGAAAATAATAAAAACCAAAGACAAATCAGGAATGAATCACTTAAAAATTACTACTCAGATTAAACAGGTGTGCTGCTAATGAGGGTGCCAATTAAGTGGATTCCACAGGACAATCTCATTTCGAAGCACAGCAATAATCATTAAAAGAATCTTAGAGACCATTAAGTACTCAGCTGCAACAAAGCTTATGCTAAATTTTAGTGAAAATATACACCGGATTAGACTTCAGGGCCTAAAAAACTCTAAGATAAACTCTTAGTTCAAAATGTTGACATTCACTATAAAAGTGCTTGCAAGTTTTCTGTTTTAGTTTATGCTTTTAATCACGGAGGTTGAGACCATTAACATCTAAATGAAAGAAAAACATTTCCAAAGCCTCCTAGGCTTATAGGCGAAACATTGGAATTTAAACATATGATACTCTACTTGTCCACTTGTGTCTGCAGCCTGCTGGAAATGTGTGGCAAGAGATGTCTCATCTTGGAAAACTTCACTGCACTCCAAACACTTTAGACCATGCCTACAGAGTTTGGATGGATCTTCGTCCAGTGGCATGGCTGGGACGATGGGGGTACTTGCTGGGGCTGATATGACTGTTCCCGTTATGCCAGACTGTATCTTTGTTACAGTGTGTGAGCCAGCTCCCACTGGGCTTTGAAGCACGGGTGCAGCAGTATTGCTCGAAGGAGATGCTATCATTTGATCTGCTGGGACTGGTTTCAAAATCAGGTGCGAACACTGCATTACAACTCCTTTTTCCTTGTGTCCACGAGCATGGGAAAGAAGACTGCATTTGTTGTAGAAAACTAAATTCTTTGTGCAATGATTACACGTCACTTCAATTCGCACGCTCCTCCTGTCGTAATGCTGGGTCAGGCTCTTCTCAAGAGCAAAGGAGTCCCCACACTCCAAACACTTGTAACCTCGTGTGGGCAACGTTATTCCAGCACTGGCAGGAGGACTGAGGTTGGGGATGTAAACCGGGACAGGGTTGACACTGCTCAGCACCTTGTTGAACGCTTCCACTACAGAACTCTGTAGAGATGACACCACTTGGACTCGAGACACCTTCTTAGAAGGCTGTGAGGCTGCTGCAGAAATTATTGCCTGCTTTATTTGCTGCTGAGGTTTCGTTAGCACTTGTCGGAGCTCAGAGGTGGTCTGAGCACCCTGAGGCAGGAGGTTAAGGTTGGCAAGATGGACCGTCTTTGGCACAAGTTTAGCACTCGCAAGGCTTGATGCTGGCACCACAACAGTCTGCTGCTGTATGGCATTGGCAGCTTTTATAATGGCGCTACTGGCACTCTGCACAGAAGCAGCAGATATTACAGTGGCTTTCACGGTAGTATTGTTAGCAAGCTTCAAATTAATAACTTGTGAACCTGCTGTTTTCACTGCTGAAACTGGGAGGAAGGCAGTAGCCACAGGTTTGATAGTGACCTGCTTTGGTGCGAGTTCTGCAGATGCAACTGCATTGGTAACGACCGCGGACTGGAGAGGAGCTCTAGGAGGAGAGGAAAGAACAGCAGCAGAAGTTGGTGAGGACAGGAGGGACGTCATGGAAGTTACCATAGAAGCAGTCTGCTCCGTTTTTTTACTCGAGTCCAAATCAACTTCTGGCAACACTCGAGTAACAGTTCTCTTGATCTCCCCGGAGGAAGTCTTGATGGTTTTGATGCGAACCTTAGGAATTGCTGGTGTGGACCCTGCAGGAGAAGACGGAGACCCTTTGCTACTGTTTTCACTTGACACACTTCTGGGACTATCAGGCGGTTTAAGAGATGGCTTTTTAGCACCATCAATAAGACTCTGAGGCTCAGGTGATTTCTCAGTAGTCCGGGGACTTTCACTCATATCTTTTGGTAAAGGAGAAGACTCCCCGGAATTGGATTGTAAATCCTTACTGCTATCTGTAGCTGCCTTTTTAGCACTCAGTGCTGCAATCGCAGCAATGCACGAAGAAAGCTTTGCTGATGACTTTGCTTTGGACTGTGAAATGCTGGCAAAATTTGTTTCACTTTTTTCAGCACTCAGTTTTCCATCAAGTACTCTGTTGTCAAGAAGCTTCTCAGAACTGTCTTTTAGCAGTTTGTCCTCTGCTTTGCGAGCTTTGAAAGGCTCATAAATACTTAAATTCACAGAGTTTGTCTCTGTCTCCCGCTTAGAAACTTTATTTTTATCTATACCGCTTGACACTGAGATACTAGATTTAATCAAATTCTCTCCCCCAAGTGCCTTTAGTTTGTCATATTCCTGCTGAGATACAGAACCTGTCAAGATATTTGTTCTGAAACTTGCACGCATCTCTTCTTTGTCTGGAGGGTCATCTACCTCAATTTTTTCATCATCATCAAATTCTTCAGCACTCGAAATTGGACTGAACTGGTTAAAAGCCGAATCCTTCAGTGTTGTCTCAGAAGCTGACCCATCGTCTTTGAATGGCTTCCCTTCGTCTTTACTGTAGCTATCAAGAGCTGAGGATGTTAGGAAGCCGTTATGCAAGCCATTGCCTGTGGAATGGTGGCCATCCTTGTCTACTCCTTCAGAAGAATCAATAGTACGCACATTTTTCACAATGACGCTCACACCGACATCAGACGATGAGGGCGTATGAGAATCTTCATCTGTGTGTGCATTTTGTTTTATCTGGCTTTCATGGTCATCGTGTCCAGATTCAATAGCTGCTTTTGGGTCAACCATGTCTGGGATGTCAAAGGCTGCAAGAAGATCGTCAAAGTCTGGGGTCTTCATATCCCCCATGGTCATCTATTTGATTGGAGGCAAATCTGCAAAACAAGCAGAAAGTCCTCATCTCTCAGTACTTTAATCTCTGACAGCATGCTCTAACACAAAAAGCACACATTCTCACATGCCATGCAAAAAAGGTGCTGTTGCACTTCTCAAGTGGTATTTTCAGAAATTATGTATTAAAAGCAGTACCCCAGTGCAGTGTACAATGTACAGCTGAATTACAACGCCAGGAGTTCATGTTACAATGCCATCAAGTTCATACACTGCACACTAGTGATTTCATTCTAGGGACATACCTTCTCTTCAAGTGACTTTATTCCTGACTGTTTTTCTTGCACTTTCTGCTACCCTGTCCCACCCATGCCATGAACACAGCAAGATATTGCTTTCAGAAAAATCATGAGTTATTTGAATATCCCCCTAAGTCTAGATCTTCCTTGGTATTTGCACTATCAACCTCATGAGCCTTCTCGAAGACAGCAGAGCAAATGTGTTTCTACTAGCAGTTTAAGAGTACTGCATTGTTTTCTGTGCATTAAACCACTTCATCTGAGTTATGGAATATTTGTTCCCCAATGCCCACAAGCTGTTCTTTCAGCAGCTCCAACAAAGGACTTACTGTAGTTGTACTTATTCTATGGGTGTCTCACCTACTTCAAAGACCTGGCACTCTACAACCTCCAATGCGATTTACTGCAGTCATTCACCATTTTCCCCACTGTGGGTTTCCTACTGCATTACCTGAATGTCTCTTGATGCAACCTGAACGAACTACATGTGGCTCTATACTCACCTAACCACTCTGCAAAAGCACTTCACGCTAATTCCATTCTCTCTCTTCAGTTTTCTTTCTGAGCTGAACAACACCAGATCTTTAGTTTTACTTCTTTCCCTCACAGATAACTTCCAGATCTCATTCTTTCCATTCACTGCTAACCTCTAATACTGTTTTTTTTTTTCTTCTTGTTCCAAAATGCAGAAGATAACTCAGAACTGGAACCTTATAAACGCTGCATAAAAAGGAAAAGCAATACTTTTGAGTATACTTTCACATTGTAAATCCCACTATGGTACTTGCTTTTCCACACACTTCAAGAATATGCAAAGTTGTGCACAATGAATCACTCGTACAGATCTAAGAAATCAATTATGGAAAGCACAAACAATTTCCCATTTTGTTTTAGAACAGTGCACAGGTATAATCTGTGCTGTTATGGCAGAGCTGATTTTGGCTGTTCAGTACTGACTGTGCAAAATTCAGCATTCAAACTGAAATGATATTCAACCAAACCAGTGTTACTGTCAGAGAGCGCCCAGTTAGGAAGCATCCTACCTGCCCTCCTGCCTTAGTATCAGCACTGAAAGGCAGAAGAACATCCTTTCAATACAGCTCAATATGCAGCCTCCAGTATTCATTAGCACAGATCATCAAAGAGCTACTGGGTGATTGAACAACAGCACTGCCTCCAAGTTTTCAACTTAGCTCAGCTATATGACAAGTTACCACATTATATCCCATGGCAAATGGTCTGTTGGAACAGAATGGCCAGGGTTGGAAGGGACCTCAAGGATCACGAAGCTCCAACCCCCTGCCACACGCAGGGCCACCAACCTCCACATTTCATAGCAGCCCAGGCTGCCCAGGGCCCCATCCAACCTGGCCTTGAACACCTCCAGGGATGGACGGGGCATCACAGCCTCTCTGGGCAGCTGTTCCAGCACCTCACCACTCTCATAGCAAAGAACTTCCCCCTGACATCCAGCCCCAATGTTCCCTCCCTCAACTTCAAACCATTTCCCCTTGTCCTGCTGTTATCACCCCTTTCCAAGAGTTGACTCCCCTCCTGTTTGCAGGCTCCCTTTAGGTACTGAAAGCTGCCATGAGGTCACCCCGCAGCCTTCTTTTCTCCAGGCTGAACAAGCCCAGCTCCCTCAGCCTGTCCTCGTAGGGGAGGTGCTCCAGTGCCCTGATCATCTCTGTGGCTCCTCTGGACCCTCTCCAACAGCTCCCTGTCTTTCTTGTACTGGGGGCTCCAGACCTGGACACAGCACTGCAGATGGGGCCTCACAGGAGCAGAGCAGAGGGGGACAATCACCTCCCTGTCCCTGCTGGCCACCCCTCTGCTGATGGAGCCCAGGATGCCATTTGCTTTCCATGCTGAAACACACCTGCCAACAGAAATGCATCCTACAAGTTCAGCACATCATCTCTTCCTCCTCATGGTTTATCTTGAGATATTTTATAGAGAGAAACTACCTGCTGGCTGCCGAATTCAGCTGCAACAAGATCAAGAACCACTAATCACAAGGCAGATGCTACGGTTAAAAGCACATTTTTATGGCTATCGTTATCAAGATGGACGGTACTCTATTCCACAGTTAAATGTGGCTTATTTGGAGAGCATAATTTCTCCACATGAGAAAAACCTGTGAAATTTATCTACTCATCAACGCTGGCCAACTGGAAGCTATTACAGACTCTGAGAAAGGCAATCAGGGAAAATTCGTCAAGGAAAAGAACACCGCAATACACGCTGCCACTTCATTTGCTGCTTTAAATAAATATAGCATCATTTACATGGTCTGTTTAATGGTTATGCTGCCTTGCTAAGTTCTTTTAATTACACCAAATTCTATGGAGATTAACTCATTATTTGATTTTTAGGAAATATGACTATAGTATTGCAATTAATGAATTCACCTTCCTTAATTAACTCAGAATTTCTTTCTTCCTGGAAATAGAGCTCATTATTAAGATTTCACTACATTTGTAAATCAGACAGTTATACACTGTATTTATCAGACGTAAGATTGCTTCATTACGCTGGTAATCCAGGCATTATTATTTAATTTTAAAATTTAACCCTCCATCTATTTGACAGCAAGTTTCTGGCCCTCATCCATTTGAAGCCGGTAACTGGGATAAAACCAACAGACAGATCTGAGGAAAGCAGTCAGCACAGCTCAGCCCTCGTCCAGCATCACCAAAAGCTAACTCTCAGCATTCAGTGCACAACGCACCAGCAGCCACCTTCTTCTATCACAGACTTTGATGATCATATTTATCCACTGTGCTGGAGCCCAGTCCAGCCTCTGCCCAGAGGATTTCAGAGTCATGGAGAGGCATGCAATGACAAAGGCAGCCACCTAATAACTACAGCATGTCACCAGCACAATGAGAGACAGTCAGTACGGCTGTGGTGTAGACATGACTGGATTTTTAATGCACTTCTGGACCTGTATTAACAAGAAAAGAAAAATACTGCAGGAAATTCAATGGGTATGAAATGAGAACCGGTAGAAACCAAAAGAAAGGTGGCCCAGAGTTCAGCAATGCAGACAAGAGCAGAAGGCCACTGAGAACCACCAGACTGACTTCTATCCCTTGTCTCCAACTGGATGCATAACTTGTGCATAGATGAAGCACAAATTAAGAAAACACACTGAATGCACCGTCATGAACCTAATCTGAAATACAAATGTCTAAAGTGTTCTTATATCTGCTCCTGCTGTGTTTTACTTACCATGCAAACCATCAGAGCTGTGGTACCAACACACACAGAGGAGCAATACTGAGCTAAAGCTGATACCTAGACTGATTAAAAAAAGACAGTGGTATTTATGTAATGCTTCACTTTGTCTGAGTCACAATTTCCTCGGTCGCAAGGTGTTAATCTTTTTGTTGTTTACAAACAATAAGAATCACATACACACACAATATTAACATTACAAAGGAAGTCCTTCTAAGAACTGCATGGAAAAGGTTCTTGAGTCCAAAGCCAGAACACACAAACAAAGCCTCAAGTGACAGTTTTTCATGGTTCAATACACCGCAGCGCTCTCTCACCATGCATCCATCCATGGATGGCTTCTCTGCTAAACACGCTGGTGCAAAACTTCCTCCAATCATATATGCTGCAGTCATTAACATTTAGCAGCAGCAATGCAAAGTAAAGGCAACTGTACTGAATCAGGTTATCTTTAAGAGCAGAACTACATAGCAGAGAAGAGACACGTTTGTTCTTTACTAAGATACTTCTTTAAGGTTAATTCCAAAATGGGAAAGTATCCCAGAAGAACGCAGAGGTCTTCAGCTTTAAGCTGAGACCTTAAACATATCCAAAGAGCACAGTGCCCGAAGCTGCAGGTATCTCCCAGGTACACACAGATCAACTCCTGCGCTCTCCCGGAGTACACAAAACAGAGAACAGAGTGCTTTCTTCTACATGGGGCACCTGAACTGCTGCTGCCTTCACAGAGAACCTCTCCCATTCTGCAAGCCTCTACAGCAATCCAAGTCAAACAAGAAAAGAGAAAACACCTGGTGAGTCTGGTGAGCTGTAAACTTCACATTTTATTTCTCTCTAACTTGCTATTCTGGACTATCGGTGTAACTTCCAGTGTATTAAGCTAGTTTTCATCACAACTGTCAGGGTTCCAAAGCCACACCGCTCCCTTTTTTACCCAAACACCTTTCCCCAGCCTTTTCTCTTACAGACAAAACTCTGCCTTCTACCCAAGACTGAAACCAACCGAGGCCTTGGCTGCCGCACAAGTTGCAGACCTGCTCCTGCTGTGCCCAACACGAAGCCTGACAGCGCTGCAAACAGAACACGAGGCAAGGCCCTGACTCCCTTGGGAACTGTGATTTTCCAGGAACTGGAATTTCTTTGAGAACTGCTTTCTCTGAGAAGTGCTGAGAGTAAAACCCAACACGGCTAAGAGATATACAAGCCAGTTAAAAAAAACAACAAATCCCATCGGGAGGCTGCCATCAAAATTATCAGTTTTAGTGGTAATGACTTTCAAGTGCTCCTCACAAATGCAGCTCTCCAGAATTAAACAAAGAAACGGTCCAAAATGTGTGTAACCAAGCATTCCACAGACCTGACAAACAAAAGACACTGCAATTAACAACCTGCAGGACCCCCACCTCCCCAAACACCGCTGTCTGGAACACACACTTTTTCATTTTTAATTTCTAAGTAATAGAACAACAAAATACACTTCAAAACACCGGACTGACAACTTGAAG